GAGGCGTGGATTCTCAGAGACCTCCAAGCACGGCTGCTCTGCCCTGAGGGCACAGGCCCCACGGGAGCTGCCTCCGCCCCAGCCTCTGGGCTCTCTTGCTCCAGACCCCTGTTTCTTGTCCTGGACCCTGGCTTCCTGCTCCTCTCCGTCCTTCCATCTCCTTCCCTGGCATAGGGGAGGCCAGGCCAACCTGAGCACGCACAAGGCTGGGCGCTCCCAAGTCCCAGAATCTGGGGACACGGGGACTTGAATCCTTTCCCTAAAGAAACTTACCTCCTCCGGCCACAGCCACGGCAACCTTGACTGGAAACCAAAAGGACATTCTGTGAGAAGGTCCGCCCTGGCCTCCCTCCCATCCCGGAGCCCAGGGCCACCGACCACCGACGGGGAGGGGCTGCCCCAGGTGGGGACACAGGAAGGAATGACCCTGCCTGACACCCCCACACCCCTCCCCCTGTCTTCACTCTGAGAAGTGGGGTTTCAGAGAGGGGCAGCTTCACAGCCCTGAGCTGGGCGAGGGTTGCCGGGCAGGCTGATGGCAGAGGCAATGACCATGCTAAGGGAACGTGCGGCCATGACCTGGAGCCACCTGGGCACGGGTTTCAGGTCCCTGCGCCTGAAAACTCATCCTCTGATGCAGTTTTGGTGATTTTATCTGTCTGCTGATTTGGGGCGGAGGCAGGGGGATGGGGAGATCCTCTAGAACAGTGGTTCTCAGCCTGGGCTGCACATTAGAATCCCCTGGGAATCTTTTTAAAAACCTGATTTCTGGGTCTCGTCCTCCAGAAATTCTGTTTCTTTGTGATGGGGTGGGGCCAGAGCATTAGCCACAAAGAAACAGAATTTCTGGAGGACGAGGCCCAGAAATCAGGGTTTTAAAAGATTCCCAGGTGATTCTAATGTGCAGCCAAGGTTGAGAACCACTGATCTAGAAGGCCCAGGGGGAAGGGTGCTGCTTGCAACCTGCCTTGAGGTGCCCGTCCCCCCTGCCCCAGTGGTCACCCAGGGGGAGGGTGCCGGGCCCCTGCATTTCCTTTCTACTTGATCTCCCAGGCCTGGCCCTTCCTGTGCGGGCTCTTGCACAAAGGCCAAGTGACTTAGGGCGCGGCAGTTTGATTGGGCAGGATGTTAGTTCATCTAACTTGGGGTTGATGTTTGCCTAGCGGAGAAGTATACCAGCGGGCAGTCAGTCCTGGTGGAGAGAGAATGGCTGACGTCAGGCAGCACTGGGGAACGCTTGGATGAGCGAACCTGGCTCTTCAGGGCCTGACTTGCCCTCTCCTCCAGGCAGCCACCCAGACCCTCCCAACCAGAACTCGTCCTTGCTCCCCTGTGGCTAGAGCTACTTAGCACTATCAGGGGTGGGCAAACTTTTTGACTCGAGGGCCACAGTCGGTTCTTAAACTGGACTGGAGGGCCGGAACAAAAGCATGGATGGAGTGTTTGTGTGAACTAGTATAAATTCAAAGTAAACATCATTACATAAAAGGGTATGGTCTTTTTTTTTTTTTTTTTTTTTTTTTTGTTTTTTTTATTTTTTTTCCAGTTAGGAAAGCTTTGCTGCTTCACGTTATTGCTCAGCAGGAGGGGTGAGGCCCAGCTGTGGCCACCCCCGGCCTCTGCCATCAGACGGCGACCTCCCACATGGCCTGGCTCCGCTCCCACCGCACTGGCTCTGCCCGGTCGCTGCCTCGCGGGCCGGCCCCCTTCCCATGGGCAGAAGGCAGGTTGGGACAGGAGGAAATATACTTTATGGGACCCTGGTTCTCCTTCAGGGCCTTGGCCTTGAAATGTGCTTATCTTCCCAGAACAAGGTCATGGAGAAACTTACCACCCCACCTACCACTTCTGCATCCTCCCCGGTATCGAAGGCCTAGGGGGAAGGGTGTTGCTTGCAACCTGCCTTGAGGCGCCCCGCCCTCCCCTCCCACCACCATGGTCACCTGCATTTCCTTTCTACTTAAGCTCCCCAGGGCCTGGCCCTTTCCTGAGTGGGCTCCTGCACAATGGCTTATTTCCTTTTTTCTTTTAAAAAATTTTTTTTAATTGATGAGAGAGAGAGAAAATCATCAGTTTGTTGTTCTACTTATAGGCAGATGCATTCATTGGTTGATTCTTACATGTGCCCTGACTGGGGATCGAACCCACAACCGTGGCACTCTCACCATCTGAGCTACCGGCCAGGGCCACGAAGGTTTCCTCATTTGTAAATAAAGGACAATATTGTCAATATTATCTTTGTCGGGGTAGTTATGAGAATTCAGCCAATTGATCAACGGCGGATGCTAAGCCTCGCAAATGGGCTAGCGTTTGGGAAAACCCAGCTGTCCTTCTTTTTCATCATCAGCTGAGGAGTCCTCCTTGTTCCTCACCAACAGGAGGGACCGGGGAAGGGCGCCAGGGAGGGTGTCTGCTAGCCAGGCCAGTTACCTCCGAGGGGGCTAGCGGTCACGGCTGCCACGGGGGATGCCAGCAGGGAGGAGGCTTGCAGCGCCCCCAGCATGGACCCCAGGGAGGATGCAGCGGAGCCCAGGGCGGCTTTGGATGACACGGTGAGCCCTGAGGAAGAAGACGGGGTGAGTGCACAGGGGCCAGCGTCAGGCTGGGGTCAGGGGCCCTGTGGCCGCCTTCCCCCCATGTCCCGCCAGGTCTTTGGGCGGGTGGGGGGTGGAGAGAAAGGTCCGTGCCGGTGGGCGCATATCTGCCCCCCGGGCCGCAGGTGGAAGTGAGGTCGGAGGCTCACCTCGCTATACTGACAGATCTCAGAAACATCGTTTTTCATGCAAAAAAACAAAAAAAACCCAAAAAACATCGAGGGAGATGGCCATTATTCAGTAAGTAAAGGAGAACACATGCAAACAGAAAACACCCATTCTGAAAAAACATACATTGAAAAACAGACACTCATTGAACATATTAGAAAGGCTGTCCTCGGGGGTGGGGAGGGGGGAACAAAGGAGAAGATAAACAGCAAAATAAAGAAATAAACCCAAGAGGGGCTCGCACGAACTAACGAAGAAAATAGGCCCAAACCGAAGAATTCTGCCAACACCGCGCTCTGGGTCTGAGACCCCACGTTGCAAACTGCTACGCAAGGCGGGACGCAGAGATGAGAAAACTAAAGGAGGCGACGCCCTGGCCGGTGTGGCCCAGTGGATAGAGCATCGGCCTACGGACGGAAGGGTCCCGGGTTCGATTCTGGTCAAGGGCAGGCTCCTCACCCACCCAGACCCTGGTCAGGGCTCGTGCAGGAGGCAACCAATCGGTGTGTTTCTCTCACGTCGATATTTCTCTCTGTCTTTCCCTCTCCCACTCTCTAAAAATCAATGGGAAAATATCCTCAGATAAGGATTAAAAAAATAATAATAATAAAAATAAAATTTAATTTAAAAACAAAGTAACTAAAGGAGGTGAATGCTGGGGGTGAACCCAAGAGAAATGAGAGCCAGGGAGCGGGACCCAGGCAGGGTCCCCTCAGTCCGGGCCCAGTGGGGAGGGCACCCAGACCCTGAGCCTGCCCCTTCACCGGCCAGGACACACCCCCAGCGGGAAGCCCCGCAGGTAACGCCCCTCTGTCCCTCCCCGTGGGGCCCTGAGCAGGAAGGATGCTCCCTGGCCCTCCTCCCCAGCTGCCTCCTGCCCACTCCGGCCCTCCCAGGAACTCACCCATGGATGACAGCCCAGCCAGGACACTGCTGGAGGCCGCCCCGGCTTTGGCCAGGCTCGCTGCTGACAGGATCTTGGTGACGACGGAAGAGGCCAAGATGCCTTCCATGGTGCACAGAGCGATAAGCACTCAGGGGAGCCAAACCTGCAAGAAGCTGCGTCAGGGACAGGGACACTGGAACTGGGGTTTCCCCACCGCCTCTATAGGGGCCGGGGGAGGGGTAGTTGAGAGGCTTCTCTGAGCTTGGGGGGCAGCAGGCCTGGAAAGGGGCCAGGGGTGGGAATTGGGGGGATGGAAGTGGAGGGTGAAGTGGATGGGGTACATTTTATTTCCCCAGGTGGGCGGCTTCCTTCCGCCTGAAAACACATTGACTCCTTAGATATTTCTAGAACTCCCTTCAATCTCCATGGGGCCACTTAAAGGCCCCATGAGAAATGAGAAAGTCAGAATGATAAAATCAGCCCGGCTGTCTGACCGAGGGTCGACCTATGAACCAGCGGATCACAGTTCGATTCCCAGTCAGGGCACATGACCAGATTTTGGGCTCCATCCCCAGTGTGTGGCATGCAGGAGGCAGCCTATCCATGATTCTCTTTTATCACTCATGTTTCTATCTCTCTCCATCCCCCTTCCTCTCTGAAATGAATAACAACATATTTAAAAAAAAAAAAAAAAAAAAACAGAAAAAGAAAACCAGAACCAATTCCACTTTGAAGGGTTACTCTGGGCTCCCGCTCTGATGCAATCCCTCCACTGGCACAATGGTAAGGAGATCACCATCTGCCTTTTATATGTATACTAGAGGCCAGATGCACGAAATTCATGCAAGGAGCATGGACCCCGCAGCTGCGGCCCTGGCAGCCTGGGCCGCTCTATCCACTGAGCCAATCCGGTTAGGGCACCATCTGCCTTTTATAAATGAGAAAACATTGTCTGGCACAGAGAGGATGAGGGATTCACCCAAGGTTACAAGGACTTTATGTCAAAGTGCCATGGAGCCCTAGCTGGTTTGGCTCAGTGGATAGAGCGTCAGCCTATGGACTAAAGGGCCCAGGTTCGATTCCAGCCCAGGCCATATGCCCTGGTTGTGGACTCGATCCCGTAGCGGGTGTGCAGGAGGCAGCTGATCAATGATTCTCTCTCATCATTGATGTTCCTATCTCTCTCTCCCTCTCCCTTCCTCTCTGAAATCAATAAAAATATATTAAAAAAAGAAAAAAAGTGCCACCAACCCTGGTTCAGCTGCTCCCAAAGCTCCGGTTTGGCGTGGCTCTGATCTGCTTCCTTCTAAACCTAACTGACCTCTTCCCCCCCCTTCCCCTCACCTGTCGCACCCTCCACCCAGGAATGGAGGAGGCATAGTCCCCAGAGTCCTAGATCCTGGGGGGCAGCTGGGGGCTGGAGCCCCTCCCCCCTTTTCTCTGATGAGAAACAAGGTGTTCTGTGACTGGACCCACGGGGTCTGCACTCCACTCCCTGGCCCACAGGCCATCCCAGGTGGAGGGCCCTGGAAGAAGCAGCCCTCCGCCCGTCCCTGTCTTACCTAGAGAAGAGGGTGCTCTGAAATGCAGAACTGACTCTGCCGGAGGGTTTGAGTTGTGATAACATCCAGGAGGCGGAGCAGCCTTGCCCCCAGGGATGCAGAGAGCAAATGAGATAAGTTTCCTTTTACAGGAAACTGAAACTGCACTTGTTTTACCAGAAACTGAAACTGCATCCCTGTGTTTCCCTCTCCCAGTCAGGGGGGAATCCTGCTGTAGGTGTGGAATCCGGCCATGGATCCACCACTGTCGGTAACGGAAGACACTTCATCATTCAGTTTGGGGTTGGGATGTGCACTCTGCGTAGTAAAGATCATAAGAAATCAGATAAAAGTCATATAATAAAAGGGTAAACATTAACTTCTAATGGAGACAAGAAGATGGTTTTCAGAAAAGCATTCATCCGAGCAATGGACAGATGTTCAGTTCTTCCAAAAACCTGTACTGAAGGCCCACCATGTGGGGTGGGTCTAGGTATGGAGTCAGAGCAGGGCCAAACTAGACCACCCATGTGTCCTCCTGGAGCTACGGCTGTCAGGGAAGAGCAAATAAGGTAAAGAACTGAATATACCGAGTGCGATTTGAAGACGTCCTGAAGCAAATGGAGGGAGAGTCCAGGTATGAGAGGAAGAGGGAGGGAGGCAGGAAGTGAGGTCAGAAGTTAAGGGGGAGCCAGGCTGTGTGAGGCCTCGCAAGCCCCTTCCAGGACTGGATCTTGCGCGCTGAGCAACCTGGGAAGCTACGCAGGGAATGACGAGGTCAGGTCCCCTCTGCCTGCTGCGTGGAGAACAGACTGAAATGCCTGTCCTTTCCATGTCAATATTCAGCATGGGCAGTGTGACAGGAACATGTTATTTTCTTTTCACACACACGTGCACACGCACACTCGCACACTCACACCGGAACATGTTATTTTCATTTGCTTCCCTGTTCAGGAATCCACACCCCTCCCACCAGGTACTTTCAACGCCAGAGAGTGCGCTAATTCGCACACTGAAAGTGTGTGTGTGGCATCATCAGTCTCAACATCCTAACAACGCCCACCCTGATTCTGCAGGGGGTTCACAGCAGGTGCTGAGGCTTAACTCACTTCTGGGTGGAAGGACGCCCGGCCAGCATGTGGGGTATGAGTTTTATCTAGCAATTCTACAAACTCTCAAGAGTAAATGCAACTTCTAGAGCTTCTGTCACCATCTCTTCCCAGCTCACTCTCAGATGATCACTTCGTATTTCATCAAGAAGTTAGATGCAATCACAAAAGAATTATCTTTCCAATGTCAACTCCACCAACCGCCAGCATCTGTGTCCATAAACTCTGCCTTCCAATCCATGGCTTCGGGGAAACTACCCCAGCTCCTCGGATTTCATCCTCTCTTCCAAGTCCAAGGCTTGGATCTTGTATACTGAAGCTGCTCTCTGTCCTGAATCCCCAGAAACGTAGAACTGAGCTTGGCTGGGTTCCTGGTCTGGCTCGGGTGTTTATAAAGCAGTTCCGCCCAGAGGGAGGCCTGCCTGGCGGCCTTGCAAACTCAAAGTCCTAAAGTAACCTCAAAGGATGGTGTTATGCCCAGATTTCAAGATTCCCAAGAGCCCACCAGGGAGCCAGCGAGTCTGATGCAAAAGCAAAGAGTCCTTTATTTCAAACCCGGGTCTGGTTCCCCTACCCTCCTTACTGACACAGCAGCAGGTGGCAGAGAGAGACCTAGCCCTATGGGAAGAGGAGTTTTATAGGGAAGATGGAGGGCGTAGTCCTCGCCCTTTCAATGATCTGGAATGAAAACTTTAATTAAAAGCAGTTATGGCGGGTAGTCACATCCTAGGCCGGTATCTTCCCTGACAAAGGTCAATCTTTACCTGAACTGAACCTATTGTCTGGGCGTCCTCAAACTATGGCCCACGGGCCACATGTGGCCCACAGTGTGCATAGGAATTTGTTCATAGTTTTTTTTAAACTATAGTCTGGCCCTCCAACGGTTCGAGGGACAGTGAACTGGCCCCCTGTTTAAAAAGTTTGAGGACCTCTGCAGTACTGTCTTTTTGCTTCCATGATAGCATATCATTGGAATGTCACAGAACTTTCCCTTTTTCCGGATCCATCAAAGCACAGCACCACTCTGTGAGGCCACACATCCCCTCATTGTTATTGAGTTAATTGTTGACTGTTAACTATCCTGCACCCACCTAAGTAAAAGAAGTGTGTGTCTGTAACTTTATTTTTTATCCAATCCCAGAGGTCTCCCTGCTTTGCTTTCTCCCACCCGCCCCCTAATCTAGCACCACTGGATTTCATGCAATCCACTTACATTTCCACCTTTGATTGCACTGTATAAAACGAGGTGAAAAACTGCCAGTCTCCGGATATTATCCCAATATGTTGAGATTCTGCTTCCTGGCAATTATTGACAGTTTGGCTCAAATAAACTCACAAAAAAATTCTTACAGGTTGGAATGCTTTTACGGTAACAAGGGGAAACTAGTTACTATAGAGAGCAACATCCTAATAGCTTTCTGACCCCAAGCCATCACCAAGTGTCAGTCAATGTGCCATGACTGGTTTGGCTCAGTGGATAGAGTGTCGGCCTGCGGACTGGAGGGTTCTGGGTTTGATTCGGGTCAAGGACATGTGCCTTGGTTGTGGGCACATCCCCAGTGGGAGGTGTGCAGGAGGCAGCTGATCAATGTTTCTCTCCCATCGATGTTTCTGACTCTCTATCCCTCTCCCTTCCTCTCTGTAAAAAATCAATAATATATATTTTTTTAAAAGGTGCCAGTCAATGTCTCTGCTGCCATCACAGAAAATTGTTGAGAGACTTGCACATCTGCTCTGCTCTTTCTCACCTTACAGCTGCTCCTAAAATACGCACTTTACAGAATAGCAAATATTCTCAGGCATCCAAAAAGCTATCTATATATATAAAAGCCTAAGTGACCCAGCTACCAAATGACCAATCAACTGGTCGATCAGTCGCTATGATGTGCACGGACCATCAGAGGGCAGATGCTCAATGCAAGAGCTGCCCCTTGGTGGTCAGTGTGCTCCCACAGCGGGAGCACCAGTCAGTGAGCTTACCAAGCAGCAGTGGCAGCAGGCACAGCAGAGCCAGGATGAGTGGGAACAGCCCAATGCCCAGCCTGGGCTTGGGCTCCTCCCCAGCTGCCTACATCCCGCGGGGGATGTCAGACTACCGGTTTTGGGCCATGGCCTGAGGGAATCAGGCCGAAACCAGCAGTCTGACATCCCCTGAGGATTCCCGGAATGCAAGAAGGTGCAGGCCAGGCTGATGGACCCCACCAGTGCACGAATCCATGCAGCAGGCCTCTGGTAGATTATATAGCAAATACTTATTTGCCTATAACTCTGTCAAGAACTCAAAGGATACACATACAATGAACACAACCTGAGAATCCCTGCTAACCCCCTTCTCCATTGCTCTCCCCAGAATGTATGGCTGCTTATTCCCATGCATGGTTGATACTTTCCCCATAGATAGCCTTTGGAGGCCCAGTCTTCCCTCAGAGGAAGCCCTTATGGGGGAGGGGGTCTTTCCCCAGTAGGGAGCACAAAGGAGGCAGCCAATCAGTGATTCAATCTCAACATTAAGGTTTCTCTCTCTTCCTCTCCCTTCCTCCCAGAAATCCATAAAAATACATCTTTTAAAAAAGGAAATCTGAAAGAATAGCAGCCTCCTGATCACCACACCCTCTGTATGAGAAACAGCAGCTGTGTGTGAAGCCTCCCCCCAACAGCCAGAGGAGCCACCACAGCTCTGAACAGCACCCACCAGAGGAGCTGCTGCCAACTGAGGAGCAGCTGCTACCACAATCACCCAAGGAGCAACCACAGCCCGAGGAGCCACTGCCACCCAGGGAGCAGCCACTGAATGACTCAACATCTAGATATGTTGGTGAGATCAAATATGGGTAGACAAAGAAACCCCCAAAAGAAAGAAAAGGAGGACTCGCCAGAAAAGCAGCTAAGTGAAACTGAGGCATGTAGCATAACAGAAAAAAAATTCAGATTAAGGGTCGTAGAGTGCATAAACTGGATGGAGGCAAAAATCAAAAACTTATGCAAGAAGCAAAAAGAAACAGATGAAAAAATCAATAAATTATGTAAGAACCAAGAAGAAATGAAGAGTGATATAGCAGCAATAAAAAACACCATTGAAAGTTTCAACAGTAGACTACGAGAAGCGGAGGACCGAATTAGCGAATTAGAAGACAGGGAAGCAAAACACACCCAAACTGAACTGCAATTGGAGAAAAAAATTAAAAGACAGGAGGAGAGTCTAAGGGAGCTATGAGAGAACATGAAACGAAGCAACATACGAATAATAAGGGTGCCAGAACAACAGAAAGAGGAACAAGACTTAGAAAACATTCGAGGAAATATTGTCCGAAAACTTCCCTGATGTGGGGAAGAAAAAAGTCGCACAAGCAGAGAGAGTCCCAAAGAAGATGTA